TGACGTGCCGGCTCCTGATGCTCAGCCTGCTTCTGGAAATCCTGTGTCCAGCAACCTGCCTTCCTGCGGTCTCCTGCAAAAAGATAGGCCTATCAGCAGGAGACCCAGCCAATCGCTTGATTCCGGCAGTGGGATGTCCAGCCAGTTACCGGACCCAGGCGGTGGAACATTTCGGCCATTACGGACTGTTTGGAGCGTCCTGAGGCCGCTCCTTGAAGGGGGGTACTGTCAGGAATGGTCTTATCTCTGGTAGTGCTGGGGCTTACCTGCCTTGTGGGCTGCAGTACCAGTGCTGGCCAGCGGGTGCTCTCAGCAGCCAGTGTCTCACTCCTGCAATCAGGCCATCACCTGAGGCTGATTGCAGGAGGTGTATTAAAGCAGGACCAGGCCTGCAGTCAGTGCCTTGGTGTATTGCTCCCTTGTGCCCTGCCTCCTGCCTGACGCTCCTGCTGGACTCTGACACTGCTTGAACTCTGCCTGTACCAATCCCGGCTATTCCTGACCACTCTTCTGCCTGCTCCGTTGTACCTTGTCTGTCCGTTAGCTACCGACCCGGCCTGCCTGACTACGTTTGTGCTCCATACATATTTATATCAGTTAAGGTTTGGGTTTTGTTTGCACTTCGTTGTACATATTCATATTAGTTTAGGTTTGGTTTGTTTGCACTGCGTTTTGTGTATTGTATAACCTTTTAATAAATTATATTGTTTACACCTTACTTGAAGCCTGCGTTTCCCTGTGTCAGTCCACACATCTCTGGTCATACCCGGATCCCTGACAGAGCCCTACCTGCAACGCCGTTTGCAGCCTTGGCTGTCAATCATCCCACACTGTGATTACTTGCCGGCACCCGGTGATTGCCGAGCATCTCCAACAGGGGGGAGAACTGCTTGTAAACAATATAGTTCTCTCCCCTGTCAGCTTGTACAAAGCAGTGTGCTTACAGTAAAGCGCTAACACACAGCACACATAGTAAAACAGCACACAGTTAACACTTTGATCGTCCCAGATGATAACCCCTTCCTGCCCAGTGTCATTAGTACAGTGTCAGTGCTTTTTATTAGCACTGATCACTGTATTGGTGTCACTGGGGATTTTCAGTGACACCAAGTCATTGCCCCCAGTGTCAGAATGCCTGCCGCAGTTCCAAAGTCCCGCTATAAGTCACTGATCGCCGCCATCACTAGTAAAATAAAAATAAAAACCCAGTATCTATACCGCCATTTGTAAATGCTATAATTTTCACATAAACCAATTAATTTACAGATATGGGGATTTTTTTTCAGCAAAGACATGGAGCACAGTACATTTTAGCCTAAATTTATGACAAAATTTGTTTTTTTAAGTTTTTTTACTGGACATGTTTAATAGCAAAAAGTCAAAAATATTGTTTTTTTCTAAACAAAAAAATTTTATAGCGCAAAAAATAAAAGACACACAGGCGATCAAATGCCACCTAAAGAAAGCTTTATTTGTGGGAAAAAAGGACATATGTTTCATTTAGGTACAGCGTTGCATGACCGCGCAATTGTCAGTTAAAGTAAGCAGCGCCATAACACAGAAAATGGCCTGTCAGGAAGGGGGGGGGGGGGATCCTCTGGAGGGCAAGCACTTATACTTCTGAAATGGCAAAGATAAACAAGGACTCCTGTGAATTCACAACATTATTTCTGCCTAGGCAATTTTTCCCCAGAGGTTCCAAATATCTGACTTCCCTTTGAGGTTCTAAACTTCAAAAACTCCTCAAGAGACCCAGCGATTTGGCTACTATACCCGGGTTTCAAAGGTGGACAATCAAGGTAAAGACTAAGACTCATTCTCAGCTTAACTGATCAGCCGAGCCTTTGTCCCAAACATCTGACACAAAAAACAAAACTCAAAACTGAAATTGTTTACATTGTTAACTGTTTACACATCTAGAAATGAAGGCATTATAAAGAATGGATGCCAGCTTAAAGATATATCTCCTTACAATGAAAGTGGGCAGTATGTACAGGAGAGGCGTGTGGAGGGTATGACAGTGGGCAGTGTGTACAGGAGGGGAGTGTGGAGGGTATGACAGTGGGCAGTGTGTACAGGAGAGGAGTGTGGAGGGTATGACAGTGATCAGTATGTACAGGAGAGGAGTGTGGAGGGTATGACAGTGATCAGTATGTACAGGAGAGGAGTGTGGAGGGTATGACAGTGATCAGTATGTACAGGAGGGGAGTGTGGAGGGTATGACAGTGATCAGTATGTACAGAAGGGGAGTGTGGAGGGTATGACAGTGATCAGTATGTACAGGAGAGGAGTGTGGAGGGTATGACAGTGGGCAGTATGTACAGGAGAGGAGTGTGGAGGGTATGACAGTGTGCAGTATGTACAGGAGAGGAGTGTGGAGGGTATGACAGTGTGCAGTATGTACAGGAGAGGAGTGTGGAGGGTATGACAGTGATCAGTATGTACAGGAGAGGAGTGTGGAGGGTATGACAGTGATCAGTATGTACAGGAGAGGAGTGTGGAGGGTATGACAGTGATCAGTATGTACAGGATAGGAGTGTGGAGGGTATGACAGTGATCAGTATGTACAGGAGAGGAGTGTGGAGGGTATGACAGTGGGATGTATGTACAGGAGAGGAGTGTGGAGGGTATGACAGTGGGCAGTATGTACAGGAGAGGAGTGTGGAGGGTATGACAGTGGGCAGTGTGTACAGGAGAGGAGTGTGGAGGGTATGACAGTGGGCAGTGTGTACAGGAGAGGAGTGTGGAGGGTATGACAGTGGGCAGTGTGTACAGGAGAGGAGTGTGGAGGGTATGACAGTGGGATGTATGTACAGGAGAGGAGTGTGGAGGGTATGACAGTGGGCAGTATGTACAGGAGAGGAGTGTGGAGGGTATGACAGTGGGATGTATGTACAGGAGAGGAGTGTGGAGGGTATGACAGTGGGCAGTATGTACAGGAGAGGAGTGTGGAGGGTATGACAGTGATCAGTATTAGAGATGAGCGAATCGAACCAGGCGAACCGGAATTCGATACGAATTTCAGAAAAATTTTCGATTCGCGGCGAATCCGAAATTTTGCCTACTTCGGGTGCGCGAATCGAAAGTTTCCCGATCAGCCGGCAAAAGTGTCCCTGCAGAGAGCTCCGCTATTTCTGACATTTCTAAGACAGTTCCTTCACATGTACAGCGGTTGAAACATTGTATCTATTAGTTTCCATTTAGGATACAGATGTTTCAACCGCTGTACATGTGAAGAAGCTGTCAGAGAACTGTCAGAAATAGAGGAACTCTGCACATACACTTTTTGCCGGCTTGGAATTATTCTTATTTTCATCCTACTTCTTCTTCTTCTTCTTCTTCATCCTCATCCTCATCCTCTTCTTCTTCTGAGGATGAGGATGAAGAAGAAGAAGAAGAAGAAGTAGGATGAAAATAAGATTAATTCCAAGCCGGCAAAAAGTGTATCTGCAGAGCTCCTCTAAGTGTATTTGCAGAATGTCATTTATGGAAAAAAATATGATACAATGTTTCAACCGCTGTATGGAGTGAATGTCCCAGAACTGTCAGAAATAGTCTATTTCTGACAGTTCTATGACATTCCCTCCATACAGCGGTTTGAAAAACCGCTGTATGGAGTGAATGTCCCAGAACTGTCAGAAATAGTACAGAAACTGTCCCACATGGGAACAGTCCTCTTCTCATCCACTGGGATTCTCCTGTCTGGAGGAATGTCCTTCCTTCTCAGAACTTCTACTCAATCCTTCTTCTCCAGAAAAACTGTCTCATCCTTCCTCCATCTTCTCATCCTTCTCCTTCTTCTCATCCTCTCCCTCATCCTCTCATCCTTCTCCTTCTCTCTCCTTCTCTTCTCCCTTCTCCTTTTTCTCATCCTTCTCCTTCTTCTCATCCTTCCCTCCCTTCTTCTCATCCTTCTCCTTCTTCTCATCCATCTCCTTCTCCATCTTCTCCCCTTCCTTCTTCTCATCCTTCCTTCTCCTTCTGCTCTCATTCCTTCTCCTTCTTCTCATCCCTTCTCCTTCTCCTTCTTCTCATCCTTCTCCTTCTTCTCATCCTTCTTCCTTCTCCTTCTTCTCACATCTCTTCTTTCTCCTCCTCTCATCCACTTCTCCTTCTCATCTCACTCCCTTCTCCTTCTTCTCATCCTTCTCCTTCTTCTCATCCTTCTTCCACCCTTCCTCCTTCCTCCTTCTTCTCAACCCTTCTTCCTCTACCCATCTTCTTCATACCTTCTCCTTCTTCTCATCCTTCTTCTCATCCTTCTCCTTCTTACCTCATCCTTCCTTCTCATCCTTCTCCTTCTTCTCATCCTTCTCCTTCTTCTCATCCTTCCCTATCTTCTCATCTTCTCATTTTCCTTCCTCCTTCTTCTCATCCCATACTCCTTCTCCTTCTTCTCATCCTTCTCCTTCTCCTTCTACATCCTTCTCCTCCTTCTTCTCATCCCTTCTCCTTCTCCTTCTTCTCATCCCTCCTTCTCCTTCTCCTTCTTCTCATCCTCTTCTCCTTCTCCTTCTTCTCATCCTTCTCCTTCTCCTTCTTCTCATCCTTCTCCTTCTCCTTCTTCTCATCCTTCTCCTTCTCTCATCCTTCTCCTTCTCTCCTTCTTCTCATCCTTCTTTCCTTCTCCTTCTCCTTCTCATCTTTCCCATCTTCTCATCCTTTCCTTTCCTTTTCTCATCCTTCTCCTTCTCCTTCCTTTTTCCTCATCCTTCTCTCCTTCTCATCCTTCTTCTCTCTCATTTCTCCTTTCTTCTTCTCCTTATTTCTTCTCCTTCTTTCATCCTTCTCCTTGAAACCCTTTCCTCATCTCCAAGGGCATTTGTAAATTAAAGGTACAGTGTTTTGCACTAATTTAAAGGCTCTTCTGAAGCCTAGAGGGTAACCCTTTTTATAATCTCATCTTTGTTCCAGGAATAAATTTCGCATTCGAATCGAATTTTATTCGAGGATTCGCCGAGATACAGCAGTCGATTTTTACATAGGAGTTCGCTCATCTCTAATCAGTATGTACAGGAGAGGAGTGTGGAGGGTATGACAGTGGGCATGTATGTACAGGAAGGAGTGTGGAGGGTAATGACAGTGGGCAGTGTGTACAGGAGAGGAGTGTGGAGGGTATGACAGTGGGTAGTATGTACAAGAGAGGAGTGTGGAGGGTATGACAGTGGGATGTATGTACAGGAGAGGAGTGTGGAGGGTATGACAGTGGCAGTGGGATGTAAGTTACAGGAGAGGAGTGTGGAGGGTATGACAGTGGGATGTATGTACAGGAGAGGAGTGTGGAGGGTATGGACAGTGGGCAGTATGACAGGAGAGGAGTGTGGAGGGTATGACAGTGGGATGTATGTACAGGAGAGTAGTGTGGAGGGTATGACAGTGGGCAGTATGTACAGGAGAGGAGTGTGGAGGGTATGACAGTGGGATGTATGTACAGGAGAGGAGTGTGGAGGGTATGACAGTGGGATGTATGTACAGGAGAGGGGAGTGTGGAGGGTATGACAGTGGGGGAGGGTATAGACAGTGGTATGTAAGTACACACGGAGATGGATTGTTGGAGGGGTACAATGACAAGTGGGATGTTATTATCACTGAGAGAAGTGTGGAGGGGTCATGGACAGGTGTGGATGTATGTAACAGGAGAGGAAGAGTTGAGGGTATATAACAGTTGATGTAAAGTAACAGAGAGAGAGTGTGGATGTGTATGGACAATTGGGATGTATTTTTATGTAACAGGAGAGGAAGTGTGGTAGTTTTTATGACAGTGTTGTCATATACAGACTGATCTTAACTGTTGTTGGTTTTTAGTAAACACTTTACTATCCGTAAAACCCCTAAAGTATAATCATCTATTAGATAGCATGATGCATCATTAGTTTAGGAACATCACCAGGTAATGCATCCCACAAGCATCCATCCACAGTCCTTTCCTCTCAATCCTCAGACTCCAATTTTGAGTTTTTGCACGGGGGGGGGGGTGGGGGGGGGGGGGGGGGTGGGGGGGGGGGGGGGGGGGGGGGGGGGGGGGGGGGGGGGGTGGGGGTGGGGGGGGGGGGGGGGGGGGGGGGGGGGGGGGGGGGGGGGGGGGGGGAGGGGGGGGGGGGAAAGGGGGGGGGGGGGGGGGGGGGGGGGGGGGGGGGGGGGGGGGGGCACAACAACCGTCTTTACAACAGATAGCATGTAATAGTGTAGTATTTAAAATCTAAATAATTTCAATTAAAAACCCACATAAAGGAAGCCAAAAACATAAAAATGTGTCCCGGGACAGTAAATATAACTCAACCTTAAATCCACCCGTGGTCTGTCTGACCAGGCCACTTCCCGATTTCCAGCGGGCAAATTTTGACGTCATTTTCACAGAGTTCCCCTCTACGCAAAGTGTTTCAGCAAGCCAATAGGGTCCATCTTCAGGGTACATCTAATGCTTACCTCCGCCATGTATTTTTGCAGCCGCACTCGATCTCACCATAATGCACTATGAATGATGTCCTATGAACCCTTGTGGGAGGATCAATTGTTTCTCAGGGGTGGTTTTATTGTATTACTGGGGGAGGATCTTTTTTGTTTCAAGGGGGGGTATATTGTTGCTGGGGAGGTAATCTATAAGTTTCTAGAGAGATCTATTGTTTGCAGGTGAAGATACAATTAATTTTTAATTGGACTGGTATATATGTAGCTGCTAGGGGAGGAATCGTATTGTTTAATTGGAAGGGTTACATGATTTCCTGGGAAGATTAATTGTCTGGGGGATAATTTTGTTGCTGGGAAGATATATTGTATTTAATAGGAGGTATTATAGGTTTGCTGGGGAGGATCTGTTGTTGCTAGTGGTGGTTATAGAAATTGTTTGTCTTGGTGAGGAATTTATTTGTTGCTAATGTAATCTAATTGTTGGCGGAAGATCTATACCGTTAATCTGGAGGGTATATTAGTTTCTGCAGTGGGAAGATCTATTGTTGCTCAGGGGGTATATTGTTTGCTTGGGGAGATCTATTTTTAATTAGAGGGGTATATTAATTTTAGCTATGGGGAGAATCTAATTGTTGCTTAGGGAGGATCTATTGTTTTGCTAGGGGGGGTAATTATTGTTGTTTGGGGAGGATATACTGTGTTGTTAGGGGGCAATCAATTGGCGGTAAGTGTAAGGATCTATTGTTAATTTGAGGGTACATGTGTTTCACTGGTGAGGTAATCTATTGCTCTAATTGGAGGTGGTATATTGTTTGCTGGGTAAGATCAATTGTTAATTGGAGGGTATACAGTGTTGCTTGGGGAACAGATCTATTGTTAATTGGAGTGGTATATTTGTTGCAGGGGAGAAATATGTGTTGCTAGATGGGTACAAATTTTTGCTGGGGAGGATTCTATTGTTAATTTGAGGGTAACATGTGTGTGTTTGCTGGGGAGTGGATCTATTATTAATTGGAGTGGTATATTGTTGCTAGTGCAGGATCTATTGTTAATTGGAAAGTGTTAATATTGGTTGCTGGGAGGATCTAATTAGTTTGCTAGGGGGGTATTTTGGTTTTGCAGGGGTAGGATATAATTGATATCTATAGGGGGATATATTTTTTGCCTTGAGAGATCTATTGTTTAATTAGATGGTATATTTTTGCTGGGGTCCTGATCCATTGTTTAATTATTGTGAGGGTATAATCGTTGCTGGGGGAAGATCCTATTGTTTCTATGGGGTATATTTTTGCTGGGGAGGATATATTGTGGTTAGGGGTAATTCTATTTTTGTTGCAGGGGAGGATATATTGTTTTAGGTGGGATCTATTGCTGCTGGTGAGGATCTATTGTTAAAATCAAAATTCTCAGGGGTACATTTACCTGTTGCTGGGGGGAGGAATCTTATTGATAATAATGAAGGGTAAATAAAATTTGTTGCTTTGGCGAGGATCTATTGTAAATAGAGAGGGTGAAATTGTTGCTGGCATGGATCTATGTAAAATAAGAGCGGAATATTGTTGCTGCACACACACACCAGGAAGGAATTGTTTGCTGGGGAGGATCTATTGTTGCTATAGGGCGAGGGGGGTATATTTTTAGTACTGGGGGGTGGAGTGATAAACAAATTTTTTGTTAAGGGAGATCAATTGTCGCTTAAGAAAGATCTATTTGTTAATTTAGAGGGTAATATTGTTTGCTGGTGGGTGAATCAATTGTTAATTGGGAATGTAATATTGTTGCAGAGGAAGCTTTTCTATTGTCTGCTAGGAGGGTATATTTTTTGCTACACATTTAGAATATATTGTTTGTTAGGTGGGACATCAATTGTTGGCTGGGATGAAATTCTATTGTTAATTGGATGGTCACAGACGATTTGTTGCTAGGGGAGCATCTATTTAGTTGCTAGAAGATGGGTAAATTTTTTTGCTGGGAGGAACTATTTGTTAAAAATCTCGAGGGTATTTTTTTTGCTGTTCTTTGGATGATCTATTATTAATTTTGGAGGTATAAAATATTTGAGCTGGGGCAGGATCTATTTATTAATTGGAAGGGTATATTGTTTGCTGGGAGGTATCTTAAATGGTTGCTAGGGGGAGTAAATTTTGCCTTGGGGAGGATATATTGTTGTTAGGGGGAAAAATATTGTTGCTTGAGAAGATTATTGTTAATAATAGAGGGTATATTTTTGTCTGGGGGTGATCCATTGAATTAATTGGAGGGTATATCGTTGCTATTGGCAGATCTAATTGTTTGCTAGGGGGTTAATATTTATAGTTGCTAGGTGAGGATATATTGAGGAATAGGTGGGAATCTATTGGTAATGCTGGGGAGGAATATTGTTGTTAGGGTGTGATCTATTGCTGCTGGGGAGGCATCTATGTTAACTTTTTGAGGGTAGCACACAGCAGCTGGGGGAGGATCTTTTGTTAATAAGAAAAGGGGGGTAAATTGAATATTTAAATGCTTGGCATAGATCTAAAGTAAATAGGAGAGTATAATTGTTGCTGGGAGGGAACACATTGTAAAAAAAGAGGGACTCTATTTGTTGCATGGGGCAGGAATATGTTGCTGGGGAAATCTATTGTTTTTTAGCATGAGGTGAGGAATAAATATGTAAAATTTAGGGGGGTACAATTGTTACTTGGGATGATTTATTAGTTGTTAGGTGAGATCTATTGTCGCCCTTAAAGAAGATCTATTGTTAATTATGAGGGTATATTGTTGCATATGGGGGTGATCAATTGTTAATTGAGAAAATATAAATTTATAAATTTGTTTGCAGAGGAAAGATCATAATTGTTGCTAGGAGGGGGGTTAATTGTTGCTGGGGAGAGACATATAATGTTGTTATGCGGATCTATTGTATGCTGGGGGAAATCTTAATTGTTTTAATTTGAGGGTACATTGTTGCTGGTGGAGGGGGATCTAATTGTTAATTTGAGGGTATATTGTTGCTCGGAGTGCAAATCTATTGTTAACTAGGAGGATATATTGTTGCATCCTCGGGGCTGAAATCTATTGTTAAATAGGAGGGTAATATGTCTGCATGGGGAAGGATCTATGGGTTAATTTTATAATAAGGTTATATTTTAATAAATTTAGGATATATTGTTATCTATTTTAAAATAATTTTCGAAATTGTTGCTGGGAATTTTTGATTTTTTTATTTATTTAATTTGGAATGATTCTATTGTAATATATTGGATGGTAAATTATTTTTTGCTTATTTAATAAATAATTTTATCTATATTTTTTGTTATTTATAATTAGGGTAAAATTGTTGCTGGACAGGATCTAATTGTTATTTAGATTTTTATATATTGTTGCAATGGGTCCAAATCAAAAAAAAAAACAAAACAAATAAACAAAAGGGGGTAATACTGCTTGCTGGGAGGACACTATTGTTAATTCAGTAGGCGTACACTCTATGTTGCTAGGGCTGAGTGATTCCATTGTTGAATTGGCACGTAAGTTCCACATAATTGTTGCTATATCGTGCCAACACATGATCTAATATGATGGTAAATATGAAGCAGGGGATGATCTATTGTAAACATAAGAGGGTAAAAACCATTGTAGCCTGGCAAAGGTCTAAATTGTTAATTGGAGGTTATATTGTATCGCTGGGGGTATATCTACTATGAAATAGCAATAGAGGGTATATTGTTGCTGGTGTGAATATCAATCTGTTAATTAGGAGGGTAAATTTGTTGCTCGGGGAGTGAACTATTGAATAATATGGAGGTTATAATTAGATTTGCAGTGGCGAAGATCAATCTGTTTAATAATTAGAGTATATATTGATTGCTGGGGAGGATCTATTGTTAATAGCAGGGGTCCTATTGTGCTGGAGGACAAATTGATCGTGGCAGGGTATAATTGTTGCTGGGGTAGATATATTGTTGTATTAGAGGGTATCTATTGTTTGCTGGGGAAGATCTATTGTTAATTAGGAGGGTATAATTTCTTGCTTGGTGAGTGAACCTAATGATAAATTGGATGTATCTAGTTTGCTGGGAGGATCTATTGTTAAATAGGACTGTAAAAATGTATTGCTGGCCAGGATATAATGTTAATTGGAGGGTGTATAGTGTTGCTGCTGGGTTAGGATCTATTGTTAATGGGCAGGGTAATAGTGTCTTCTGTGGAGGATCTATTGTTACAATAAAGGGATCTATAGATTAGCTTGGGGATGATCTATTTGTTAGATATCTAAGTCAACTGTTATAATTTGTTGCTGGGAAGGAATCCTATTGTTAATGCTAGAGGGGTAATATTGTTGCTCGGGGAGATCTATTGTTAATAAAGAGGGT